GAATTGGGACCTGTGGAGGGCGCTGCTTCCCCTGGCCATCTCAGCCTGCTTTCTTATATTATCCTCCATGCCCCCCCCAGCCCAGGGGTGGCACCACTCACAGAGAGCTAGGTCATCAATCATTGATCAAGAAAATGTCCCCACAGACTTGCCTACAGGCCAACATGATAGAGGTGACTCCTCAGCCAAGGTCCTGCCTTCCCAGGGAACTCTAGTCATGTGTTAAGTTGACAAAATTAAGCAGCTCAGTGTCTGAGTGCGTGTGTGTGTGTGTGTGTGTGTGTGTGTGTGTGTACATGAGTGTAATTCCCATGAAGTTCCAAAAAGAAAAGCAGATCTCCTGGAGCTTAAAGCAGGCCTGTGTTGTGAAAGAGCAATTGTGAACATGGTTTCCGATAATCTATGCAAATGGTGACTGAGCAAAGGCAGGGCCAGCCATCAGTGAGCAAAAGCAGCACTGTGGAGTGAGCATTCCGACCACAGGGACAGAATTCTATTTGTTTGTTTAGCTTCTAACTATTAAGTTGTTATATTCTTTGTTGTTATTATATTGCATCAGCGAGTGTAGATCCCTCGTAAACCCAGATTTAATCCAATCACTAGAATTTAATGATAATATAATTTGAGTTATAGAAATTTGCTTTGGATTCAATATTGTGTCAACATGTTATTAAGCAGTTATGGACTATTGTCAAATGGAAAGGTAACCACAAGGATTTTGTCTGAGTGACCTTCCTATTGCTGCGATAAGACACTGTGACCAAGGCAACTTGTAGAATAGTGTATTCGGGATTGCAGAGTTCAAGAGGGTAAATCCATGACTCGTCCATCTGTCATGGCAGCAGGCAGGCATTGCACCCCAGACAGCTAAGAGCAACCTCAAAGCAGAGGGGGGAGAACTAATTGGGAATGGCATGGATTTTAGAAACGTTAGAACGCATTTAAGATTTCAAAAGGCCACACCTCCTAGTCCCTCCCGAACAGTTCCAACAGCAAATTTTTAAACACATGGGGCCCATTCCCATTTAAACCACTGTAGATTTACTCCATGTTTCACATCATAAATTCCTTTCAGTCTGTCTTTCAAAACTTTTTACAAGTTTTTCTGTCTAATTGAGTACAGATGCATTTGTATAGTGCCTTTAAAAACTCTAAAACAAGGCTGTGATTTAAAGTTTTTGCTAAAGAAATGTGCTGGGAATTGTATATTCACAACGTTAGTGTTGTCAGCAGATTCAGTGTTGTACACGACAGGGCTATGGAAAAGAGTAAGGCGCAGAGCAAAGTTAGGTGTAGCTAAGGAGGGCTTGGCCAGTGTGGGGCCATGAGGGACGTTAGCTGTGGGCGTGTGTATATTGCGAGAGTCAGACCTCTCCAACTGGCCTTTCACTCTCTTGAATTTCCAATCAAGTTCTTCCTGGACATGTGCTCAGGTTCTATCTGCCTAAGGCCTTTCTCTACCCTGCCATTCTGTTCGCCACCTCTGTCCCTGTTGCTTGGCCTTGCCTTCTCAGGCCTCTGGCCCTCTTCCCCTGCTCCGCCTCCGCCTCTGCACTGGCCCTAGGACTCTGGCCTGAAGGGCTCTCTGGTTCCCAGCCCTTTACCCGGTCGGGCGGCTGTCTCTGTGGAATTCTTCTATAAGCCGGCTGTTTGCCCAGTTTCGGCCTCTGCCACACCATCCCGCCCTATTCTGCCTTGCTCCTGCACAATTGTGACTTGCCTTTTCCTTCCCCTGCCACCTGTCCCCTTCCTGTCTAGCTTCTCTGCTCCCTAACCCACAATGCCATCATCAACTTTCCTCTGAGTTAATCCCTGCTATCACGGATTATGTAAATAAGAGCCGGTGCTTACATAGTCTTTGCCTGTAGCAAACAAGGAATTCAAACACTGCATGTAGGCTTCACAGAAGGAGTTACCACTACAAATGACTAATTATTTTATATTCTCTTTATCTCTTATTCTGGCCATAGGCAGCCTTTATTTACTTAGACACTGTATGCATTTAACAAATGACTATTTTAAAATTACTAAAAGGATCAGAGCTAAAGACCAGTAAGGGGTGTACATGAGACTCCAGGGAGACCTGTAGCACTGTGAGCAGGGAGGAGAGCAGGGAGGAGCCTGGAGAAATGCCAGCCTGTATCCAATTCTAGTCTGCCTCTCTCCATGGGCTGGGCATGGGGGGGGGAGGGGCAGGCAGCAGGGCTGGGCAGTCTGTCCTGAGGGGCATGGGGGTGTCAGATCCCTCTTCATTGTCACCATTTGTCACATATGTTTGGGCTCAAGGAAGACCAAGGGGGAACTAGGAAAGATGCCTGGAAAGGAGGGCCAAACATATGGGCTTTGCCGAGACCTTCATCCTGAATTCCACCAAAGAACAGGAACAGGGGCTTCCTGTGTGTATGTGCAGCGGTTGGCCAGCTTCCTGATCACCAGGCCAGCAGGCCTGAGCTTCCTGTTGCCACGCCTTCACTACCATAATGCACTGTGCCCCTCTGAAACGGTGAGCTTGCATTCTGCCAGACTATCTTATCACAGCTCCAGAAGAGTAACTGTGTCAGACACACACACAGAACAGTAACTGTCAGCCATACACCTGTCTGGGTATCTGGCACTTGAAGCTCTGTCCAACAACAACAGAAGTCAAATAAATAGGGTGATGGTTAGGGTTGTCAAGCTGGCAGACTCCACAGCCACCTAGGGATGGGCCCCTGAGCATGCCTGAGGAGCTAGTTTGACTGCATTCACAGACGCGGGAAGACCCACTCTTCCCTGATGATCTGGAATGGGGGGATGGAACCAAGCAACAGCATCTCTTTCTATCTCCAGAAGGTGGACATGGTGTCCAGATGCTTCCAGTTCCCACCTTCTTGACCTTGAGCTTCTAAAAATAACCCCTTTCTCCCTCAAGTTGCTTTGTCACAGCAACTTCATATGTCACACATATAAACAAGAACGGAGCGTGAACTTGGGAACGGCCCTACATCTGAAGAAAATCCTTAGCGATTGTATGATAATGGGAGGTAGGACGGCTCAGGCCGATAGTCCCAGAAGGCCGAGGCAGGAGGACAGTCGTAAGTTTGAGGCCACTTTAGGCTGCCTAGTGAATATTATGATATCCTGAGTTGTGATAAAAGGTTCTTTCTCAAGGAAACGCAATAAAATCAGGGAATAGAATCACAATGTGCATTGTCTGATACGTCACAATGTGTTACAGCTTCAGGATGTGTAACACCTGTGTTACAGCTTCAGGAAGAAATACAGACAAAACCCAAGTGTGCGCCAAGGCAGAAATTCTCATATGCTGTGCGGGGACACTGATAACAACAGGGAGAGGGAAGTGTGTGCCGTTCCGAAGCCATTAGAAGTATGCACGTGTCTTCACCACGCTAGGAAGGTGTGGGAAGGCCGCTTGCAGGCCTGGTTGCCTAGGGCCTTCTGCCGTCCTTTGTAAGGTCCCAGTTCAGCACAAACGAATGGATCCCATGAAATGAATCCATTTACTAACCCGTCTATCTGCATTGAGCACCTAAAGTTGGAGTGGGACGACCCAAAGCACCAAGAATTATTTCATCACCTTTGTCATTGTGTGTGTGTTCGTGTGTATGCACATATGTAGGATGGGTGCCCACACATGCGTGCGCGTGCATATGGAGGCCAGAGGTCGATGTTTGTCATCTTCCTCTTTCCCTCTCCACCTTATATTTTGAGATGGGGTCTCTCGCTGAACCTGGAGCTTGCCCAATCAGCTAGACCGAATGAATAGTCAGCAAGGCCGGGGACCCCCCCCCCTCACGTCCCCAGCTCGGGGATTTACAGGCAAACACCCACACTTCCAACCTGTCATATGGGTGCCGGGGTTCTGAATTTAGGCTCCCTGGTCGCACAGTAAGCTGGCTACCGGCTGAGACACTTTCCCATACCTGTTGCCATTCTTACGAGGTACTGTCAGTTGGAGAATGGGGTGGATCGGGCACGTTCACAGATTCTAGACTGTGACAGGGACACTACAAAGGAGATTGGGAGCAGCAGGGTGCAGTGGTTGACGGTTCCTCCCCAAAGGCAGGGATTTTTCAATTTTGCTTTTAAGAATAGGGAGAACATGAACATTATTGAAAGTAGAGAAAGGAACGTCTGTGCAGAATAGTGATGAAGATACCAAGGAAAGCCTAGAGGGAGAGGCTAACTGGAGAAGAAGGAAGAGTGTTATTGAATTAGGGATAAAGATGGAGAGAGCCCGGATGGGGAGCAGGGCTGCTGTCAGCAGGAGGGAGGAGTGTGCAGTCTGGAGAGAAGGCCCCTCACTGGTCCACAGGGCAAGTTCAGCGGCAGACTTGGGGACCATGGAACAATTGGGAAGAACCACTGTGGAGACCACAGGTCCCCAAAGGAAATTGCCTAGGGGCAGCTGGCTGAGTATCATGCATTTTTAATGAAACTAATATAGGCTTTGTTTATTTTTATTGCTGTCTTTAACAATGTGGCAGCTTGGTACAGAGCCAAAGAGGTTCAGTGTAGCTAGAATGGGTATGTTATAGAAGTCAAATGACTTTAATTTTTTATTTTTAAATATATATGTGTATACATATATGCATATTACATATACATACATACATATATATCCATGTGTGCACACATACGTGTGTACACATACCCATGCATGTAGTGCCCTCAGAGGTCAGAAGAGGGCTTCAGATACCCTGAAGCTGGAATTATAGGTGAGCATGAGCCACTAAACATGCGTACTGGGAACCTAACCCAGATCCTCTGTAAAGGCAGCCCGTGATCTTAACCACTGAGCCATCTCTCCAGCCCCTCACATAGCTTTTACATGGAGACCTGCATGTGATCAGTAAATGCATAATTGCAGATTCTACTTTATCAATGTGCTTTTCCCTTCACAAATTCTAAGAAAATATCCTGTGCTTCAAGTGTTCTGCATGAAAGAGAAGCCTTTGTTTCTAGCTCATTCTTGCTTCTCATGCATTATGTATTTTTAGGCTGGAAAAACTAATAGCATCCTTCTTGGAAGACCAAGATCCAGAGAGTAGACTGGAAGTTGGCGCCGATATGCGTAAAATCCATCACTGTTTCCATCATTTTAAGGTAAATGTCAATGCTTCCTCCAGTCGTAGCCATGTCCTGCCATGCTCCAGCTGCAGTAAAAACACTTCCTGTTGGCTAGCTGTAGGATCACCAGGACTCAGCTTCACACATGCAGAAACAGCCTGGGTATCCAAGCAGGCTGTGACTGTGGCTGGGCAGCTGCAGTCTGGGTGTCCAAGCAGGCTGTGACTGTCGCTGGGTAACTACAGTCTGGGTGTCCAAGCAGGCTGTGATTGTGGCTGGGCAGCTGCAGTCTGGGTGTCCAAGCAGGCTGTGACTGTCGCTGGGTAACTACAGTCTGGGTGTCCAAGCAGGCTGTGACTGTGGCTGGGCAGCTGCAGTCTGGGTGTCCAAGCAGGCTGTGACTGTCGCTGGGCAGCTGCAGGGATTGTTTATTCCACAAATAAACTTTGGCTAAGGAGTTCTAATTCCTTTTCCAGAAGTGTCTCTGACTTGTGCCCAGAATGTGTCTATGCCAAAACACACAAATGTGCATGCACACACACAAGAACATAAAAACATGCGCACATATTCAGTTTCAAGATGATTGTGTCCAGGTTTTATTTCTCCAGTATTTTGGTTTATCTGAATAACTTACTAATTTTCCTCAGCCTTCAAAGCTTTGCTTTTGTGACAAGGGTGTGGGAATCCCAACAGTTTTCACTTACAATTTTGCACACTTTGAGAAGATACTGTGAGATGAGGGAGTATTTTGTACCTGTTCTGAGGAAATATAAACAAACATCTATTTACCTCGGATAAAGCACTAACAGACCAAAGAAATGATTCTGCTAAGTCTATTTGAATGAACCAACGAGTTTACTGAGGTTACAGAGCATTGGTGACACCTGGGCACACGCGTCATTAAAAAGTCTCGCCCCTGCAGTGGCATTGACGCAGAACAATTGCATAGGCTAAGCTCCCTTGCAACTTGCAGGCCACACTACAAGAGTCCATCAGTGATTATGTACGGCTTGCTAATCTTGGGGGAAGGTCCCTGTGAGCCATGTAAGTTTCAGGAACTCCCTGTGCCTTGGAAGTTTTATTTGGTTCTTGCTCTAACTCCTGAGTCATAGAGCCTCCCTCCTCACTTTACTATTTAAGGAGGATTTTACCAGTTTAGAAGAGAGAGAAGGTAAGGGAGAAGGCACTGGAAAGGCAGGTAGGAGGAGGAAAACATACCTAGATAATACAGTAACAGCCTGGAAGAAACAAGGGTAGACATGCATGCCCAGTGTGTACTATGGATAGTACTATGGAGAGCATAGCAGCAAAGGAACTTAGAATGTGGCCATTCTCAGTCAGCTCTTACCCCAACTCGCAGAAGCTGTTGAGTGACAAGAACACCATGAAGGGTGGCGTCTCCTCTGAAACCACACACCAAGAGTACCACGACCCCTTGGAAGATGAAGGACACGCAAAGCTCCGAGACCTCCTCAGGCAGAGGGATAATGAAATTAGTATCCTTTCTGCAGGGGTGGGGAATGTGGGAGGCTCTCACCGGCCTGGCCTGGAAGGGGGTGGCATGTACATTTCCCAGTCCTGGCCCCATGGCAATCCCACAATTCCTCAGTGTCCCTGCGGGCCCCAGCCTCCTTCACACTGAGAAGGGTCACTCCCACAAGGCTCAAGCCAACATCTAGCTTGGTTTGTTTTCTCTTTGTTTTTGGTGTGTGTGTGTGTGTGTGTGTGTGTGTGTGTGTGTGTATGTGTGCACGTGCACACACACACATGTGGAGGTCAAAGGACAGTCAGTTTTCTCCTTCCACTACATGGAATCTGGAATGGAGCTTAGGTCACCAAACCATCTCTCAAGCCCTTGATGAAGTTATTCTCCCAAAGACCCTTTCAGCTCTTGCTACCGTCTCTTAACACTAACTCCCTTTCAAATATATTTTGGTTGCTCTGTGGTGGGCTTTGTGTTTTGAGCCCAGAGCCAATAAGTTAGCTGGTTATCTTTAGCTAGCTGACCAGACACCATGCTGACCACAGCCTCATCATGACCCAGAATTTGTGGCCGGTGTGTGGGTGAAACTCCAAAGATGACTGGAAAGAAAAAATGGTGCATGGTATTTAGTTTATGAAAAGCAGAGAACTGGCTTAGATGTAACGTTTTATTTAAAAGCCAGATCTCTTGTCCTGAGTCCCACATACAGATGTTCCCAAATTAGGCAGCGAGCAGAGATTGAGTGTTCAAGACAGAATTCTTGTTGGCTCCCAGAGGCAGTCTTCTGTGAGCTCAAGGCAGTAGCTGCGGTGGGCCCAGGCTCTGCCTCCAGGAGCAGACAGAAGTGATTGCTTCTAAAGAGGTCCAACTGGGGAGACTAGACCTCGGGGCTCTGAGACAGTCCTTCAGTCTGTTCCTTATTTCTACTTTTCAATCTTCTTGTAAATGATTTGACATTTTCATGACACCTATAGCCTTTAAACACTCAAGAAATAATTTTTGCCAAATTTTTATAAACATATTCTAGTCATTTAAAAAATTACTAAGACACTTTAAGTGCAGCTGTTGTGCAAAGTACATAAGGAAAAAAATGTGTTATTTACCCAGTCGTGAGGAGATGGCTCAGCAGTTAGAGGTGCATACTGATCTTGCAGGCACTGGAAACACAGGCCTGGGTTCAGTCTCCAACATGGGGTTAGGGACCCAGGAACAAACATTTCATACTGTATGGTCATGTTTTGTATTTTTTTTTAAATGTGTAGAGGAGCTAGAAAAAAGGCTCAGCAGTTATGAGCACTTGCTGCTCTTCTAGGGGGATCCCAGTTTATTTCCCAGCTCATGCCCAAGCTCCCACACATCAGGTGGTACTTGTAGCTCTGACTCTAGAGGATCTGACACCCTCTTGAGGGCTTTGCAGACACCATGAGTGCACACATGTGCATGCACACACCACACATGTACAACACATATACATGCACACAGAACATACACATGCGCACACACACAATAGTACACAGACATACCAAGAGGGAGGGTTATAACACACACACACACACACACACACACACACACATACCACAGAACACACACATGCACACACACACAATAGTACACATACACACAGAACGGGAGGCTTATAACACAAACACACACACACACCACACAGAACACACACATGCACACATGACATACACATGCACACACAACACATACACAGCACACACGACACACACATGCACACACACACAATAGTACACATACACACCGAGCGGGAGGCTTACATATACACAAATAATCCACACAAAGGAAAACCAATAGAAAAGAGGAAAACCAATTCAAACAGAGCAGACCTAGACGAGCTGCCTCATTAGCTTCAGTGTCTAATTTTAGTTGAGTCTTAGCAGATCCCGTGTCAGAGTCCAGTCAGTTCTAGCTACTTTATTATCCAGCCAGCAACGGTGAGTCCAACTGTGAATCATACCCTTGTCTCCCCGTGCCGCCCACAGTGTTGTCACCCTGCATTCCTTCCCTCTTTCTTACCCCATCCATCTCCAGGGATGGCCTCGGGCCTGGCCTTGGCCCCCGTCTGTGTTCTGTTTCTTCTCTTGGCCTTGATCCTAGACTGGGATCTCCCCCATAAATACTCCTACCAACCTCTCAATACTCGCCATGCCTTGTGAACATCTACGCACTGAGGAGGAATGAAATGGGATGTGACAGACGGGGACCAGTCCAGGCCGGCTCGCATGTGTTTATAGAAGAGTAAGAGCGAACAAGAGACGTGTGTGCGTGCGCCTGCCCACCCCGCCCCCATTCAAAATGGCGATATGAAGGGGGCGGGGCTAGTGAGAGGACTCAGTGGGTAAAACCACTTACTGCCAAGCCTGACAACGTGAGTTCAACACCTGGAACCCACAAAATGGGAAGGGAGACCAGAGATGCGGTGAGACGCTGTCGCCGCCCCGGGCAGGACATTGCAATGAGGCAAGAAGGGTTAGAAGCCACACTGGATGGCATTCTAAGGGGAAACCTGGTTGGCCATCCAGAAATCAGCAAGTTGAAGTTAAATCTGAGAAGAAATATGGAAAGCAGATTGTTTCTATGTTACATTCTCAAAAACATGTAAGCCAGACTCACCCCCTCCACTCTGAGTAGCAGTCTTCTCCCAGTACTGTTCCTGTGTTTTCTGAGACTCATGTGTGTGAGTGAGCATGTGCACACATGCTCTCCTGCGTGCCAAGGGTTGATGCTGGGTGCCTTCCTCAGTCACTCCCCGCCTTGGATTTTGAGACACAGTCTCTTACTGAACTTGGAGATCGCCAATTCGCCCTGTCACTGTGACCAGGTGTAGGCCTATCTCCATCCCCAGCTCTGGTGGCAAGCATCTCCACCCTCTGTGCCCAGCCTTTAGCATGGGTCCTGAAACGAAGACAAGGGCTCACGTAGCCAGGATGCCCCCAAAGTCATTAAGTTGACAAAGATGGCCTTGAATTTCTGATCCTCCTTCTGCCCCAGTGTTGGGGTTCTAGGTATGCCGCCTGCCTTAATATGGTGCTCAGATGAACTCAGGCTTGTGCATGCCGAGCAAACCCTCCGCCAATATGCCTGCACCCCCAGGCTCCCTGGCCTGCACCTCAGACACCAAGGCCTGCGCCCCTCCCCCAGCTCCCATTTCTCTTTTTTCACACAGACATTACCCATCACTTTAAAGATCTTTCAGTTTCTTACTTTTCATTGTGCCGCCATGAAAGGCCGATTCCCTCCTAAGCTGCGCACAGCTGCACATGCAAATTTGAGGAGATGCTGTAGCTGTGGCCAGTCTGCCCCAAACTGCACTAGCTGCAATTATTTGGTTGGGGGATAATTACTTCTTTTTGAATTTTTGTCTGATCACTGTCATCTGTCACGAGTCACTAAATCCTTAAGTCAGATTTCAGATATCCTGGTGAACATGTTAAAAAAGGAAAAGAAGAAAACCCAGGGTGCCCTGCACTTGTCAAGCATGGAGAAGAGCGAAGCCAGGCCACCCCAGAGCTCACCCTTCGCTCCCAGGAGCCCAGCAGGTCAGAGCACCTCAGTCTCCTCAGCCCTGAGCCAGGCCCAGGACCTCAGCATCTGCAGGCACAGATCCAGTCTGCTCCACAAGAAAACAGGTGGGTTGACTACCTTCCCAGCGCTCTTTGTCACCTGGGATGGATCCCCGCATCCCATCCTGTCTGAACTGCTTAGAGGACGTTTCTGGCGATGTAGTTGCGAGAGGTTCGGTTTGGTTTGGTTTTGCTTTGATTTACGTGAAATCCTTGTTTCCCAAATTCATGCACGAACGGGGGGGGGGGGGGAGAATTAGTCAAGCGTGTTGTGGCAGCGTTGGGTGTTGGGTGAGTTGGGTAAAGGTGTCAGCTTCAGAGCAGGGGAAGAAGCCGTCCCTACGACAGGGATAAAAGAATGAGGGCCATGCTGCTACACCAGTGTGATGACAGTCAGCTGTCCAAAGCCAAATGCCTTCATCAAAGATGACAAATAGGGTTCCACAGGGTTGGGCTCATCACAGGCACATTTTCCACAGCTTTTGATGGAGCTGTTGGTTCGGTTTCTAAAGAACTCATTAAAAGCCCAGAGTCCTTTGTGCACCTTGGCCGTTTGTAGACCAGCCTGTTGTGGATTCCCATGACTGACCCCGGCAAGGGGTAACGCCATGTAAGGTAGCATTTCCTGTGTCCATGTCTGCTAGGGTGGACCACCTGGCATATGAAGCTTTCTAAGGCACCTAGCCTGGGAATCATTTACAAGCCTGGTGCCATGTCAGCTAGTGCTATTTGTCAGCTTGCTACAACCTAGAGCGGCTTGGGAAGAAGTCCTCGGTTAGGAAATTGTCTACACTAGGCTGGCCTATACTGTAGGCCCATACCGTATTCCTATGGGCCTATAGAAATGGCTGTAAGGACTTGTCTTGATTTCTCCAGCACGGTGTCTAGCATGTGCCCCCTCAGTGATAAAGAGATGTGGTTTTGAAGTAGGGGACTGGCCCTGAACCTGGCGAGCATTGGTTCTTGCTCCGAGTTCTGGACTGTGTAAGAGTGGCAAAAGCCACCTGAGTGGGCAAGCATCCATGCATTCGTTCTCAATGCTCCGGCCAGTAGGTGTGGAGCTTTACCACCTTCCTGCCTTGACTGCCTGACAAATAAACTCTCCCTTCCCTGCCTTGCTGTGGCCCGGATATTTTGTTACCACAGAAATGGAAGCAGGCTGGCCTCCTAAGCAGCACACGCACGTTAGTGACCAAAGACAGCACCGTAATGTGGAGATAGATTTTGTGACACCTCAGCCTGCTCTTCTAACCCCACATCACCTTGCCCCAGTTAGTGCTTCCACAACTCAGTAGCGTGAATCCCAACCCGCAGAAGCAAAGATGATGCATTAGCTCTGTTCATGGCGGGGACAGGAGAACAGGAAGGGCTGCTGATTCCTCTCTGGCACTGATTTCCACACAGTCCTGCTCCATTCTATTCCAGCCTGCAGCTGGCTGAGATTGAGGGGGGCAGGACCTGGATTGGTGAGGTCTTTCGTTGACTAATCCATCCTGCCTGTATTTGCGTAGCACACACTTTATGAAATTATTGCATTTTAATGTATTGTGTGTGATTATAGATATGGGCATG